CACCCCAAGGCCAGGCAAGAGCCAGGGAACTGAATCTGAGGGGTTTCTGACAAAACAGAGGGGCTTTGTGGTGAGGAATGAGTTTTCTTGCAGAAACGTACAACGCAGTTGCAGCCGGAACGCTTCTCTCACCTCCAGGATGTTATTTCTGGATGAAGCCAGTGAGACGTGGATGGACCCGTCTCCCACTGCCACAGGCTCTCCGAAGGCTGCCAGGGCTTCAGAGGACTCGGGGCACCTGGAGGAGCCACAAACACCTCCCTTCCCTCCACGTACAGGGCCAGGATGGTAAATCCAGCCAAGGAAACCCGGCCTCCTCCCAGCGTGATGGCATCCCTGGTGCGAGGCATGGCAGGATGGGCAGAGCCAAGAGAGAGGAGGGACCCTGAGAACCATCCCCAGACCCCCAGGAACGGAGACCCAACTGGGGCAGCTCCACAGATCTGGCTCTGGCTTGGCAGGCTGGAGGTACAAGCTCTTCAGCAATCCCAGGATGAAGATGCTCCTCACCAAGCAGAAGCAGCTGCACTCAGGAGCAGGTCGAGTTCAGCTTCTGCGCCAGGACCTCGGGACTGTTCTGACAGGCAATCTGGGACAATGTGATCCTGTGGGGTCATTACCTGCCCGTCACCTCCCCGAGGACAGACCCCAGATCAGTGGGGGATTCAGCCACTCACCCTGCCCTGGACATCCTCTCTCTGCCAACAGCTTCCCGAGCGCCGAGCTGGGCATCCTGCACACAGAGTGATGGAGCCCTGACCCAGAAACAGCAAGAACCCCTTTTCTCTCTTCTGCCATCATGATGACCGTGGCATCTCAGTCTCCAAAAACATGACAGGCTTCTGGCTCACTTTCAAATTAGGCTTTTAATTAAATAAATAACGTCGAGGGGTCTTCAAGGCAGTATCACTTCACAGTGTAGGGCTTGGGGTGGTGGGGAAGGGGAGGGGAAAAGAGTCCAGCATTGGGAGCGGCTCAAAGTGAATGTGCTTTGTAAGAAGGAAAAAGAAAACCCCAACAAAAAACCAAAACTCCTCCCCCAGTGACTCCCCCTTCCCTGTCCCAGCCCTTTCCACCCCTCTCCCTTAAAGTTATGTGGAAAAAGGGCCGCACTCATGTTGAAAGACCCCATGCGAATCTGTAAACACTGAAAAACATAAATAAGAGACATTTTTGCCTCCTCCAGCCTCCCCTCTCCTTTCATTAGGGGTTGAAACAAACCAAAGAAAAAATGGTTTCAGGAAAACTAAGAATGTTCCTGGCTGATGGAGAGAGGAGATGCCAAGGCCTGGCCCTCCCTGGGAGGGCTGCCCGTGCTCTCACCCTGCCTCCTCTTCTCCTGTCAGCCAAGGAGCTTCCTCTCTCCCCCAGAAAAGGGGAATCGCAGCCTGGGCAGTTCCACTATGGAGCGGGCACTCGTATTTGCCTTCTGTTTCCAGCAACTGGGAGCAGCCAGAGGGGAGATCTCTGGTTACCACATCTGGTTGACAAAGTGATGCCTGGTCAAGGCAGCTGTGTGTGCCTGGAGCTCAGCACCTCTCAGCAGAGCTGGCTGGGGACCGAAGCAAACCCCTGGTACTGCACACAAAACAGGTCTGGGGCTTGGAAGATGAGAGACAGGATCTGATCCTGTCATCCTGGGAAGCTGCCTGATGCCGTCTCCGTGCTCCCACTGCAGAGCTGAGCACAACTTCACAGGGCTGGGTGAAAGGAGGATCCAGGCTCATGGTTTTGGTCATCTTCCAAATCCACTGGCAGCAGAACCCACTGCAGGATCACAGCCCAAGAGCCTTGACCAAAACAAGCCAAAAACCTCAACTCAAACCCCTTCCCAAGCTCAGAAAGTGTCTGGAGGAAGGAACATCTGCATCAGAGCCTGGCCCAGCAGACAGCATTCCCTGAGGGAAAAAAGGGGAATGAGAACGTGTGGATTTAAGCCAGTGGGAAACCCCAGACCCGAAACACACCCGGGAAGGGAAGCAGCTCCAGATTCCAGCACACACACAAACATGCCACTGTGGCTCTCTGCACAGCAGCTGGCCACCTCGCTGCCGTGTGGGGCCACCCTTGTCACCTCCTCGAAACATCGCTAATGGCAGTGATGACACACTCCTGTCAGAAAACAGAGAGCTTGTCCTGTGGTGCAGACAGGGACAGGGATGCCCAGGGACTGGGGCGCTCTCCTGCCTGGGACTCTGTGCTAGCACTGCTGACTTGGTGCCCTGGGAGCTGAGCAACCTCGTCCTCCTCCTCCTCCCACAGCTGAGAAACTGAGTAAGCTGGGAAGTTGCAGATGTTTTCATCTGCATTTTACCCTCTGGTACTGCAGCAGTCAGCAAGGATCCAGTCATTCACCACCAGTAAGGGAAATGGCAGCAGCTCTGCACCACTCTGAAGGCCAATGTCACTTTGTGGGTCTAGAAACTCCCTTTACTCCCAGTTACGAGTTCTCCACAGCTGAGCACTACAAGGGAAGGTGGGGACGTGAGTGCACACAGTGCTACTGCACCCCACAGTGTCCCCTTCCAACACCTGATGCTTCTGCCCCAGGGCTGGACCAGGCCACGTCCCACCTGCAGCTGGTGGCAAAGCGAGCAGCCAGGCACAGCTGGGAAATCCAAGAAGAGCAGCGTGTGTGCCTGTCACAGCTCAGGAGCACAGGACAGCTGTGGGGAGGGGAACGGGGAGAAGGATTTCTATTGCAACACACGACCTGTGGGTGAAGGGCCGAGACTCCTCATCTTCCTTTGGCATCACCACGCCTGTCTCTGCAGGCAAACCGCCCGCAGCCCGCCTGGGCTGTGCTCCCTGCAGACTTCCTAAACTCCCAGACCTCCAGACTGCATCCTCCATCCCAGTCCCCAGAGTGAGACATCCCCGTTCTCAAAGCATCTCTGCACTGAGACTGTCCCCCTGGGACCAAGGGACATTTCCCCCGTCCCAAGGGCAGGGACTCTCTGAAAAGCCCGGAATTACCTGGGGTGACATATGGTCAATGAAACAGGGGGTGAGGGACCTCCCCCCTCACTAAAGCCAGCCACTGCCTTCATGTGACTGTGGCAGAACACACTGGAGCAGAAGGGTGTTTGGTTTCACTGTAGCCTTGGATCAAGGAGGATGGAAAGACAGATTCTGACCAACAGCTCCAAACTGTCCCTATGGAACAGTGGAAGTTCCAGGGTTTTACTCAGTCAGGTCAAAGTCCTTGCTGGGTCTGTGACAAGTTTGTGACTGGAGACTCTCACTGTGACAAAGGCTCTGACCGAGCCACAGGTGCTGGGCAAGCCTGATGAGCAGTCAGAAAACTATTCACATCTCCAATGCCAATGAGGCCAAAATCTGTGACCGATAAGGACACTTGCGCAGGGGCCACCACTGCCTCTGGGTCTCTGTCCAAATCCACAGGGCCAGCAATTAAAGGCAAACCTTCATTAATGTCTGCAGGGAGAGTGAAGTCCATGGTTATCGTCTCACCAGAGCTCTGCAATGTCTCCTGCTTCTCTGCTAGTCCTGGTCCTGCTGGAGGCAAAGCATAGAGCCCCGTTTCTGAGGGGCTGACAGTATGTTGTGTGCAGGAAGCCGAGATGGCACCTGAGGACGTCTCCTCCGTGGGGTCGAAGGAACAGTTGGTCTCTGAAGGTGTGCTGCACTCGTAGCCCTGCCCCGATTCACTCATGCTGCCCAGGCTGCAGGCTGTGCTCTCCACGCTCAGGGGCTCTGCACATCGCAAAGGAGGGAAATGTGGGAGATGGACAGGGAGGAAGAAAGGGTGGGGGACAGCAAGTGAAAGAAAGCTAGAGTGAGTCCATAACATACCAAAAAATCAGAATCCAGTTCAATCCCACCTCATCACAACAGTATTTGTTTGATGGCACAAATGTTTCTTTATTATAGCAACCACGATCCCTGCCAGCATGTACCAAAGAAAGGCAAGATGCAGACAGCAGATGGGAAACCATCAGTGTTTCTATGGAAATTAAAGGAAATCTCAGAGACACTCCAAGACAAGCCAAATCCTAAGCCCTATCCTATCTCCTCATGCCAACAGCCCCTGGGAGGTGCCTACACAAAGCCCTCATCTGCAGCAGGATGGTGAGGGAATGAACATTTTGAGTCTCCTCACAGACAGCTCTCTCAGAGCAGTTTGCACGTACAGCCTGACTTCTGGTGCCTCACATCAGCCTCTGGAGAATCACAGAATCGTAGGGGTTGGAAGGGACCTCAGGAGATCATCCAGTCCAACCCCCCTGCCAA